AGAAAGCAACTTATGGTTTTCTTTAATAAGTTATTTAAAAATATATCAGTCTTCCATTCTTAGGACATCTAGAAGGCAGTTGAATTTGAAGTCAGCTGTTTGCTAGGAGCAATAAATATACACCGAATTTGAGAACAGCAATGCACAGGGAACATCCTCACAAAGGTATTGCTTGCTGCTTGAAGCCCTTTTTAAGGTACTCTAAGCAAAGAATTCAGCAGTGAGCCAGGATATATGGGCCCTGATCTGAAGGAACTCTTATCCTGTTGAATGCCAAACAGCCCAGAAACAAACACATTCCCCAGTAATGAAGGAACGTAAAACTTCTCAAGTCCAAAATCCATAGACAAGCTTGTAGAACAATAAACTAATTATTGTAAAATATTATATTTTGGATTACCATTGCAGTTATTCCAATAATGATGTAGTTTGATGCACTTTCTATGCCATTTCATTTTTAGGCTCTGCTATTGTGGCACTGAGTGGAAGGATGCAGGGAAAACACCAGGAAGAATTATGAATGAAACTAAGGAAATCATTGACATCGATTTGGAGTTAATGAAAAAGGTATTCACTTTATAATGTGTTTCAACGGTGTTCAGCAAGTAAGAAATAACTAATTTGGTGCTGAAACCAATAGTTATATTCACAGAGGCTACAGGTGAGGGCATTTTTCTTAAGAACCACAAGAACTGACCAGCAGCTCTGCCAACTGGCATGGCAACATATTCCTTACCTGGGAATAGGCGGGAGGGCAGGGATGGTGTTATCTTTAAAAAAATAGGGAAGTTTCCTGGCACTACATCTGAGAACAGCAGATTGGGTATGTGATCTTTTAGTCCAGTATAGCCTAAAAGCTCAAGAGCCAGATGAGTCACACACAGAGGTACTGTGAGTAAATGTAAATTTTGGGCATGTAGGTTTGGTTTGTTTGGATTTGCCTGCACCAGACTAGCAGGTTGTAACTGGCACAAATGTTACTCCTGCACACGAACAACAGAAACACGGAACTGAGTAATGGGCTATTGCACGGGGCTGCTTTGGCAGCTCAGACACTGAGTTGTTCTGTAGGGAATGAGGCCAAAGCCTCAGGCCTTTCTGGAAGGTTCAAAAGGTGGGTCGGGCATAACGGTCTAGAGAAAGCAAGCTGATGGTAGACAAGCAAGAGCATTCAACTTGCTCATCCCTAAAATGCTGAACAGGCCACACTGCTGGAACTTGAGCCACAAGCTCAGATCTGAAGGAGCTTTAGTCTTACCTGGGGACCTGGCAAACCAAGTAACACTGATGGTGTGGAGTGCCAGTCTGTCCTAGGTTCAGCTGCAGCAGTTGTTTTTCTCCTTCTCAGTAGCTGGTGCAGGGCTGTGTGTTTGACTGTAGCCTGAGAACAGTGCTAACAAAACACCGATGTTTTCAGTTGTTGCTCAGTAATGTTTACTCTGAGCAAGGACTTTCTCAGTCTCATGCCTGCCAGAAGAGGAAGCAGAGACGGGACACCTGACCCAAACTGGCCAAAGGGGTATTCCATAGCACAGCACGTCATGCCCAGTATAGAAACTGGGGGGAGTCACCCAGAAGGCCCAGATCAGTGCTCGGGTTGGGCTGGGTGTCAGTCGGCACGTGGTGAGCAATTGTATCCTCTCTCCTTGTTATTTCCCTTATCACTGTTATTGGTGGTAGCAGCAGTGGTTTGTATTATACCCTAGTTACTGGACTGCTCTTATCTCAACCCGTGGGAGTTACATTCTCCCGATTCTCTTCCCAGTCCCTCTGGGAGCAGGGGGAGGAAGAAGTAGGGGAATGAGTGAGTGTGGTTCTGAATTACTGTCTGGGCTTAAACCACGACATGTTTGGCTTGTAGGTGCTACTTTAATGCTAGTAGTAACAGAGCATGACAGTACATACTGATAGTACAATACTGATTCAGGCTCAAGACACTTTCACCAGGTGTAAGCTGGATGAGCAGCTGAAGTTTGTATAAGCCTGTCAGTTCTTGTCAGCTAAGGATCACAGCTATGAAATGCCAGGAATTAAAGTTCTGATAATAAATGAGTCATGTTAATTAAATCATTGGGCAACATAGAAACCCCACACAATTTATTTGCCATCTCAACTGCCTGACATAAAAGAATCAGGGGAAAAAAATAAAAAAATCACATTCTCCTATTCCTGCACAGGAATATCTTACCTATCCTAGAAATAGCACTGCAGCTACTGTTATAGAGAGCTGGAAATGCATGGTCTCCAATAATGAAAATATGATTAGTGAGATTACTTCCTGCTGGCAAGTGCTCACCCACAGCCTCACCCATCCATGATGAAAATAACTTTAGTTCCTGGTCATTGCAAAGGGGGTGCACAAATAGTTAGTTTCATGGATGGCTACATCAATATTTGGCAAGAATATAAACCCTCCTTTAGCTGTATGCTAGCCAACCTGTCAGTGCTTATAGTCAAGATTATACAGTCCGCAGGCAAACAAAAATGCTGAATTCCTCAGGGAGCAAATCTAAATATACCCTGGAGTATATTTACATTGGAGGCAAGGCCCATAACCTTTGAAAGCCAGGCCTACAGTAGAGTACATTTGAATTATGTCTTGCAAGTAACTTAAGTAGCAGTAAGTAGCCTAGAGCTTATGAATAGCCACACAGCAGCAGAAAGCACCTCTTGGCGTGGCACTTGCATTACTTTTTTTCTTTTTTCCCTGTATTGCAGAGTTAAACTTTTAATTAAAATTATTAGAATTAATTTCCATAAAACCACAGTTTCTCTGGGACAGTTTCTTCAAGCTCTCTTGGATCCTTGCTCATATCTTACAATTGATATTTTCTGTTTTGTTAGCTGTTTTTCCTAGCTCAGTGAAAACAGGGTTTTCAATCGGTTCCTTTTCCTAGACCAACCAATAACCAAAGCAAAACAACCGGAGAAATCCAAGTTTTTTTTTAATGTACAGTTTTATGTAAAACACTACAACTGAGAAAAACGTGAAACTATAACCCTCACTATAACTATAATTGCTGAGGTGCCTGATCTTGCGTTCCTTCAGTTTAACCACTGTGAAAAGGAGAAAAATAGTCTCAGGATCTGATCCTCATGAGCATACTAAGAGCAATATAATACTTTGCGTTTCCTTAACTGGGCTTTGGGTCAATCCTCACCCCAACTATAAGATTTGCTTTAGAAATTCAAGAGGGAAAAGCTGAAAATATTACTGCAAGATGAGCATCCTGGGGTGATCACCTCATACACTTCTTCACCAGGAGCTTTCCAAACAGAAAGGTATGCATATGCTAGCTGAAAAGTATCTCCACTGGTTTCAGTGCTGTTTCAGACATGAAGATCTGGTGGCGTTGGAAAGAAAATCCAGCCCAGTAAGTCCCAACAGACAGAATTTTATTCAATCAGTTTCATCCTTTGTCACCAGAAGGTTATTTCAAGTAAGAAAGGGAAAGGGGGTACAAGTTGAATAAATACCCAGCCGGGATTCAGAGTCACCCTTTTCAATCCATGTAACAGATTCATAATTCAGCTGAATGCATTCAGTACTGCTCTTTTAAATCTCTAAGCCCGTGAAAAATCACCATGTTCTTACTGGAAGATGCTGTGTTGATGCAGTATGAGCATTAAACAATACAGATTAAGACCACGTTGCTAGGAACAGCATTCAAGGATACCATTTTCTTTTGCCATCACCTCTGTTCCTCACACAGAAAGACTCATTTTAGTTTTTTGGAAACGAGAGAGAAAGATGAAGAAATTGCTGCCAAGCTTTGTCTTAAATCACAGCATACCCACGGCAGCTGCTTTACCATTTCCCTTCATGGTATCTTAGCTGTTCAGCAATAATTTACCTGTTGTCTTTGATCAACAGTTATCTTAAGTGCCACCAACCAGTCCGACTGAATCTTTAACAGCTCCTATGCAGGACAGTCTAGTAAAGGGAAGATGTTATTCACAGATCATTCTTTTCAGTCAGAGAACAGGCATCTCCTGTATCAGGACACTAAGAAGTGACACAGGAGAAGAACATGGCTCCTGCCCACACTTTGAACAGCACTATTCCTGGAATCCGGTATTCCCACTTCTGGAAGAAGAGTCAAAACAGTATTCCTAAAATTGCTTGCCACCACCTTCTAAGTGCAAGAATTGCAGTAGTATTAGCACAGCTGTCCAGACATCATGTATATCTTTGGTTAATCTCTTAGTTAATACATTTCCAGCAACTATTATTACAGGCCTTTTGTGGTGGAACTTTACTGCAACAGTTCCAGTACTCTCACTGATAGAGATTTTAATAGTGCACAGTCTTTACAGAGTGACCCTGCTACACGGGCTTTATAAATGCTTCACAAAGTGTATGAACACTGGAGCGCTCATCTGCGTGACATTGGTAATTATAGGCATTCATGCCTTCCAGTATTTATTAGGGTCTTTGATCTTTTGACTCCTGCTGCTATAAGGCATCAAGCTACAGCAGAAAATACCCCCAACAAACAAACCACTTATCCTTTGTATTTCCATTCCTTAAATGTTCCTCAGGAGGCAGAAACATAACATAACATAGCATAACATAACACAGCATAACATAACACAGCATAACATAACACAGCATAACATAACACAGCATAACACAGCATATAATAACATAGCATAACATAACGTAACATAACAACATAACATAGTCACTAGACAAGTGACAACAGGGATTTCTTTGTATAGCTGCTGACTGGTGGATGTAAGTAACAGGTAATGAGTTTTCAGTCCCTGCTTGAGTGCACTGCTAAACACTAATGATTCACAAGTCCAGACTGGTGATAGTATAGTTCAAACCATTTGATAGAGCAGCTGTTTCATCCCGAACTGATGTGTGCCTCCCAGAAGGAACCAAACACCTGACACTGGATCTGAAGTGGTGAAGAGACTCTGTATAGGGCTTTGGGCAATAGGGAGGAGTATTAAGGGTCCTTTCCTTGTTGAACACATGAATTCTTCACCGCTCACGGGATAGCTGTGGTGTTTGCCCAGGTTGGGAATGTGTCCAGCCCAAACATAGGTCTTCCCCATGTGTTGATGGCCACTGAGACACAGAAGACTCCAATGATGTTCATCACTACTCCGGCTTTAACCTGTGAGGACACAAGTCCAAACCAACAACAATAATCAAACACCAGCACATCAAATTGCAGCAAAGCCCATTTGTACATACACAAGAAAGACACGTGGCCAAATAAATCACAGAAACAACCATTGTACCCACTGTCCTGTGGTCCTGCTTAGGTGGAACACACTGTGCAAAGCCTTTGAACGCTTTGCTGTATAACTGATCTAGGAGCTTTAAGACATGTAAAAATTACTCTTATTAGTTAAAGAACAGTTCTGCCTCCGTTGAGGCTCCACTTTGAAACCAGATAATGCTTGGGAGCTGGGCACAGAACCTGCACTGTGTGGTCTGGCAGACAATCAGAGGATCAGAGCCTAGGGCAGCTAATTGTTACCTTCTGCTTTCAGCTCCAGTGAAAACAAGGCTTCAGCTACACTCGCCAAAGCCCCACAAGACTGGAAAGCACTGGGTGCATTTTAACCCTTCAGTGTTTATGAGACTTATGATTTGTCAGTTTTTAATTTCAATTGGTCTGGGCTGTATGTCTGCCGAAGCCTGTGAGAAGGGTATTGTTACTTCAGAGATGCAAATCCTTATTGCAATATTAAGACTGCATAAAAGAGATATACAGTGATAGTTACAGCCCACAAGATCTTCCTGGTACTTTGTAAATACTTGGCTAAGAAAATTAAACTCTCACCATATTTAAGGACAAAGGCAGGAGGGAGCTTCAGATAAGAGAACAGGCAATTATCATCTTACCATATCCCAAACATGGATGTGGCCATAGGAAAACACTATCGCATTTGGTGGTGTTGCAACAGGTAGCATGAAGGCAAGGGAAGTACTGAGAGTACCAGGAAGCATAAGATACAAAGGATTGATTTTGACAGATGCAGCCTGCAATGAAATGGAGAGAATATCACACTGAAGGTATTCCAAAAGAAAAGCATAAAGAACATTTCCCAGCCCATTGAGGCACACCAGCTCGTTTCATTTCCTGCTATTATATCACCAATTTGCAAGCATTTGATTCTGAAATCCACACATGCTTAAAGATAACTTTGCTCTCGTTTCCTGTCCCACAATACTTAAACACAGCGCTTGATTCTTGTTGTTTGTTTTGCTCTATGGTATAATTTGGAGTTCTGGTCAAATTTATCTAGCGGTCTTTTCTTTGACTTCAGACCACACTTGTGCCAGGGTAACACAGGGATGGGATTATAATTACTAGGCATGTGGAGTACCACTCTCAGATGTTACATAAACTCTGTGGTACTCAGAACTTAAGTGCCCATTTAAGCCACTAATTGCTCAGCACCTTGATTGGGATCATTTTACTTTGATGAAATGGCCTAAGAATAAAGCAGTTGTATTTTCCAAATTAAAGAACAATGTAACCTATTTTTTCCTTTATGTTACAGTTTCAATTCTGCTCAGAAAAGGCAGCAAAAGTTACCAGGTTTTCCTCTGTTGGTTTTAAAATTGCTCTAGCTTCCTATGGAAAATGGCACATTTCTAATAATCAGGCCTACCACTTTCTGTTGTCTAGCATAAAACCATGAAGATGAAGGAACCATGCAAGGGATGAATAGGAAATGCTGGATTTTGGTTTGGTTTAATGTTTCTGATTGTGTGTTTTTCCAGTTCTGAGTTGATGATTTAAATACAAAATGACTAGAAGTAACTGAGGTTTGCTGATCTGTACTTAAAAGTGACTCTCACCTCACTTTCTCCAGGGCCGAGGGACACACCTTACAGAAGGCTTGAACTAGCTTGAACACTGGGGCAACATTCAAGACAATAAATACGATACTGCTTTGCCACTAGAGATTGTCACCTTAACTCTCATCTCCCAGTTGGTGGGATAACAGGATGGAAGTAATCTTACCATGGATGCAAAGACAGGTAGGAAGAGGGTGGCTGTGGCGACATTGCTGGTGCATTCCGTGAAGACAGCTACTATAAGTGAAATTACTGTTGCAATGGCCCATGGTGGGATGGATCCTAATGGAGTCATTTGATGACCCAGCCAAACTGAGAGCCCAGATTTCTGACAAGAAAGAAGAGTGTTTTTCAGTGAGGCTCAGAACCCCTAGCTCATGAAGAGGGAACTCACATTATGTGTAACATTCCTGGCAAATGGTGCCAAATGACTCCTGAATTATATAGACACCATTCGGCAAAGTGTGTCAGCCTCCAAGAGGTAAGATAAACTGAAGAACTTGGTCAAAGCACACAAATTCCTGAAAAAGAGCCACAAATATTCACCTCTCCTCCCAGTTTTTGCTACTTTGGATCTGCCTCCAGATCTGAACATCTCTGGGTGTGGCTCTGGGTACATGCCCAGTAATACAGGACTAGATAACGAACCAGGGAAGTTTGCCTTTTGAGTCAGAGAAAAACAGATGTCAGGACATACTGCGCTTGCATCAGCCAAAGCAAAACCTCCTCCCAGCAGCAGCACAACGCTCCAGGGCATCTTCCTTTGAACCACATTCCACTCTAGCAGCGGGGCTGATAAAAAGGGCTTTTTTATATCTGAAGTGAGAAATGGAAAGCAGAACATGTTTCAGGAGAGTGAAGATATTTTGTCTTCTGTTCTATAAGCTATCAGGAAAAGACCCAAAAGGCAGATGCGTGTTACCAAGAAACCTGCATAGGGTAAGGGTAATAATACACGTGAGAAGGGACCGTGCCTCAGCCCTGCCCAAGCAGTGAGGGAGGTGAGCTACCCGGAAGAACTGCATGTATATGCATGTATATCCAGTATATGTGTCTGCCATGTCAGCTGGAGCTGGCTGACTGACAATCCTACACTTTCTCTTTTAAATACCTTCTTCAGTCTGTTCAGGGTCAGATGTGCTTGAATTCCAGCCTGTGAATTTGGGTTTGTTAGCAGGTAGGATAAAGAGCAGCAAGGCAATAAACATAGCAGGAGCAGAATCAGTGATATACCTAAAGAAGAAAAGAGAACATAGCTTAGAAAATAGACATCTTTCCTCCTAGAAGTTGGCTGCCCTCTAGCACTGCAGTTGCTACTCTTTGGTGTCCTGTTTGGGGCTTGTACATTAGCAATATGGGTCATTAGTTCACCACTGAGGTCTCTCAGACCTGCCACAACAGAAACATAGCAATAAAAGAAACTAGCTACAATACACATTGATAACCAGTCACAGATGACACTGGCTCCTGGGAGCAGGATTCCTCTGTGGTGAAGCCATCTTTAAACAGTTGTATCTCAAGGAACAACGTGTAAAGAAATGGCCTGAATGATAATCCCATTGTGCATTAAGGGCATTTTGTGACCTTAATATGCCACAGGCAGTCTGCAAAGAAGCCATTCAGAGCACCAAAACAGTTCCCCAGTGAGTTCTAGGCTATTGTTCAGAGGTGATATTACCAAATATTCATATCATACTGCAACTTATTGGAGCTCATAAAACCAAAACTGTAACACATATACCAGTGTGGCTAAGACCAGCATTGCAGAAGTTTCTCATTTTTAGGAGTTTCAGCTTGCTCCATGTCCCAGCCTCCAGCATTCATTGCAGTACAAACTGTCAAACAAAGGATCAGCTGGTGATCTCACAAACAAGTGATTGATAGGATCAAGCCCAGCAAACGTGAATTCCAATAAGGTTGGAACTAATGACTCCACACTCAAAATGAAATGTAGGAACAAGGGAATCTGATTCACAGCCAAGAGGGTGCAGGACAAAAAACCCCTGAAACTTACTTTTCTCCTCCTGGGAACATTCCGGCAGCCCAGCCTTTTATAAAGCCTGGGTGTCTGGAAAACCACAAGAGAACCAGCAAAATAAACATTAGGAGGACATTGAATTCAGCATAAGAGATAGGGCCTAACTTCTTCATTTCTGTCTTCAGCACATTGTACGCAGCTTTTTCTTTATCACTTTTCTCTGTTCCACAGCCCCAGCTTTCCTTAAAGCTTTAAGAAGAAGGGAGAAGAAAATAGTGTAAGTATTAACATACTAGAAGGATTTAACATGCTTGCCATTCTGAAGCTTTCACTCCTGGGCACAGACACAGACTACAACAGAGGCCAGGAACAAAGAAATGGCAAAAGCACCAAAGTATTTCATGGGGATGTGCCAGCTTTCACAGAAGAATGGGGTCTATGAATGGATCTAAGTATCTGTCCAGTTTTGAGCAGCCTGGGATGAAAACCACAGTTTTGAATCACGGGTAGCAAATCAGATATGCTAGCTCTCCTAGAGCTGACGTTCACAGATCTGAAATTGAAATATAAAAAGGGAATTCTGTCTGAACATTAAGAATATATAAAGCTTTTGCCTTAGTGAAACTCCCATGAACACAAAAGGTTTCCAGGCCTCAAAAGTTGCTGTGAAATGGAACTGCTCCCTGCTACAAAATTAGTAACTTGTCAGTGGATTTGTCTGACCCGTATTTCTCAGTAAGCTGATCTGTATTGGCTGAGGGGTTTACACAATATCATGTAGTTAAATACTCACTTGAGTCCTATGAAGGAGCACTGTAACCAAAGCCAAGCTAGTACCAACATCAGAATCATGTTTGGGAATGAAAACACAAACCAGGAAGCAAAATTCACAGTATCATTATTGTTGGGATATAACCTGAAAAGATAAATGTTTTCCATATGAATGTCAAAACATTTAGTAATCTGCTCTCCCTTTAATATGTGCAAGTGACAATTGTCCGTGTAAATCTGGGACAACCATTTACGTAATTATAGGCAACATCCATAGCCTAACTGAAGTCAAGAGGAAGGCAGCCTGGAATTCAGGGAAAACCTATATGATTCTTGATTTTCCCTGTATTTTACTTTAGTGCATATAGGAGCTCATGTTGATATTTTAGATCTCAGTAAGACAAGCACTGCTGAAAGATCCCACACACGTCCTAGGTACCTTTCACTTCCAACATGCCTGCTCATTTATCCCAAGACAGGACATTCTTTCTTCCTCCCTTTCATGCTAATAAGAGAGCAGGAATTGTCTTTCCTGAAATTAATAGCTGTACTTCTGTTCACTTCAACAGAAGACAAAGTTGCTGGTTGGCTTCAAAGAATGAAGCCAGTATTTTAAGAACAGCAATTTTTATTCTTCCCTGTGCCCATCAATAATGACTGGAGGAAAAATATCTATAGCAAATTTCCAGCTGGGTGTTAAAACCAATGGATAATGTGGCAGCTGAGGCTGAAGTACACCCAACAGAATCATAGAATCAACTCAATTGGAAAAGACCTTTAGGATCATCAAGTCCAACCATTACCCCAGGAGTGCCAAGACCACCACTAAACCATGTCACTGAGGGCCTCGTCTACACTTCCAGGACTTGGAAAGACTGTCGAGGGACTCTTGTGGAATCTGCAAAATTTCCACTGTAGATTAGGTTGCATTTAAATAAATTCCCACACTCAGTTTAGCAAAGAGAGTATTTTGTGGATAACTCCTTTCCTTTACAACAGTGTCTGTACAGTTTCCACAGCCACAGCATGGAGGAATAATACTATAGGAGAGGTTCAACTATTTTTAGCTCTCTTCAGTGTGCTTATAAGAAGAGTTAATCATAGATTCTTCTGATGCTCTTCACTGCAGTTCCTCTGCTGATGTGTTGCATTTCAGTTGAAGAAGTGATGGCAGAAGAACCAATATCTCATGATTGACCAGCTCTCTGCTGATTGCCAGCAAGTATTCCTAAGTTTCTCAGGAGACCTATGACATCACCACATAGCTGCCTCAAAAAGGTTGAAGCAAAACAACGGGTCTCATCACTTTATACACGTTCCTCACTCTCAGTTCAACAGCTGGTTATTGCTTATAGTTTGCAACTGAAACTGTCATCTAAGACAAGTCGGTCACAGAAACAGTAAGATAGTGTAAGTAAGAGAAACAGCAAAAATTACTTACTGATTCATCTGGCCTTTCAATACCACGTTTGGTGCTGTTCCAGTGAGTGTTGCAGTTCCTCCAATGCTGGCAGCATAGCATATGCAAAGTGTCATTGCCTTACATATCTGCTTCCTCCTCTTCTTTTCCTCAGATCTGGGGTCATCGGGGTCTTGTCCACTGCTCATGGCTAAACACAGAGAATACAACCCAGGTAAAGTTAGGGTGGCAGAAAGTTCGGGACAGGGTTTGTAGGTTCAGTGCTGATTGTGTATGCCACTTATTTTAATTCAAAAAACCACAGATATGTCCCTAAATACTTTGGACTCATGTTCATGAGGAGCTAAAGACAGAGGCTGATAATCTGGGTCTACATGATCCAAGGATGCTGTTGTCCATATAGGTGCCATAGTTTCTCAGCAGTAATTTCCTGTTTCACAGTGAGGCTTATCACCAGCCACATACTGAAGCCATACAACAACTAGCTATAGTAGCTGTGAATATAGGCAGAAAAACCCCCGCCCAAACCTGAAGTATTGCCTGGCATAATTGTTACGATCAATACGTTGTGTCAGTTTATAACAGCTGTGAAATTCTGCTGCTTTGTCCATTGTTCTCTGAGGTTAACAGTCTAATCTTGAAGTCTGACTGGACTAATGGAGCAGGACAATGAATTGATGGCAATTACAACCAACTCAACAGTAACAAATGTATTTTTGCACACATTTATTGCCTTCACTACCTGATAAAATAAATTAGCCAGAAAAGCCATGCAGATCCTTCTAATCAACATTAAAAACAGCATTTGCAAATATGAAAATCCATCTTCAATACAACTGTTTGGAAGCTATAAGCGAGCAACCTTACAGAGCACTCTGTGTGACCAAGTGGCATTCTTGTGGGTTTGCACATCTTACATCAACATGGTGTCTGAGCTTTGTACAATCAGGGTACATTCTCCCTTCACAAGTGAGATAAGAAATGAAGCAATCAAAAAGCAGAGATCACGGCTGTATCTAAATTATGTCTCCAAGGTCCAAACAAATACAGCAGTTATGAGTCAATCTCATAACAGAACAATGTCTGGCACATGTAAACACCTTTTTTATTACATTGTGTCTTCCATGGACATGTCAGCCAGAAAATTGGCCTGTTGTGTCCTGGGCAGAAAGCTTGAAATGTGGGACACACAATGTGCTACCAACATTTGCACCCATTCTTGCACACAGTCACACAGGGAATTGTGACAGATCAACTTGCTAATTCAGTAAAATCACATCTCCATTAAGATCCCCAAAACAATCCTCCTTCTTCTGAAAGAGAAAGGCACCACAGATCTGATCTTTAATTGTATTTAATAATGTAGACTTCCTTAACTGCATTGCAGAGAAGTGAAACCAGAGGGACTGAGTTTATGCATGTGGATCAAATCAATGAAACCTACTGCAGAACCATAGCATTGACAGAAGGACCTTGTGGAGTCAAGCATCAGGTTAAGATCACACTTGAAAGCGTCCCAAACAGCAGTTTGTCTACTGTGAGTCAAATGATACCAGCTCCTCTTGTCCATGTAGCTTTTACAGTATTCCTTTCTTCTCCCCACCTCCACATACAATTAGGTCAATAAAGAGATATTTTTATTACTCCAGAACCAAAATAGGCCATGTTTGCACAAAGTTTTTCAAACATTCCTACATGGCTTAGAAGCTGAATCTCCACTGATAATCACAAGACTGGGATTCTCAGGGTTGGATTATACTTCCCACAGGATATGCTTTTCAATTCCCTGAGAAGGCAGTTAAGTCTAGGGAAATGATGGGAGAATGACCACAGCTTGAAGGAAAGAACATAACAATCTGCAAGGCATCTAGCACTAAGCAGAACAAAATGGCAACCAGGAAAATTGGAAGCCGTTTTGTAAGACCTAGGTGTCATGCATTCACTCAGGTCACCATCCTCTTTCTTTGGAAAAGGCACAGAGAACTCCTTCTAGGTCAGGGAGCTCTGAGCATAGCAAGTTCAGTAGAATCGACTCACTGCAGAGGCCCCTACCATGCACTGAAGTGGGATCTGATGCATTCTTTTCCTCCAGCTCGATCACCTTATTTGTTTGCCCAGTTGCTTGTTCCATCATGGTCATATCGTACTCTGTGTTGTTCATTTGATCCAGGACAGCCTGGACAATGGGAACCATCATAGCAGTGGTGGCTGTGTTACTTATCCACATGGACAGGAAAGCAGTGACAATCATAAATCCCAGCATGAGGCTGAAAAGAGAGAAACAGTCAGAGGAGAAAGGAGGAAAAGAAAAGAGACTCCTCTAGGCACTGTAGTCACAGGGACATGTGTAGTGTCCAGCAATACAAAAAAGAGCCAGATTTCCTTCCAGGACAGCGCTGCCACCTTCACTGAAGGAATCCCAGAAAGCCATTTAGCTCCTTAGCCTACACATGATGAAGTCTGCTATCATTTTGCTTCCAATGGCAAGTACCTAAAATTTAGTCAGGTGCTGTTTTTGGCTAAAGGACAAATACCCTGCTTCTGCTGCCAAACTTCACCTCCGTGAAGTCTGTACACGTGTAGAGAGCTAAAGAGGTTCTTGAAGGTTCCCTTCTCTGCTGGCTGTTAAACACCATCCCTAGGCCTCTGCAAAATTGACAGAGGCAAGCAAGAAGAAATGCAATACTCTTACAGTGCAGGTTTCGCCCCAAGAATCAGCAGGACCCTCAGTGCAATCCTTTTGTGAAGATTCCAATGTTCAACAGAAATTGCAACAATCAGCCCTCCAACGAAGAGCATGCTTGTGTCATTTAGGTACTGAAAGCACACCTGAAAGAGAAGGTAGGTCAGCTGCCAAAATGCCGCTTCTTGCTAGCTTCACTAATATGTTTTGCCTTGTGCCCTCCCAAAGCCATTTTCTGCACCAGGGCCCATCCCAACACTGGCGGAAGGGAAGATCCAGCCTTAGAGCTACCTCCAGTTTCCTGAACCCTTGATCTCCTGTTTAAGTGCTGAAATGTTCAGTGCAGGGCTCTTTGTGCATCATGTACCTTCTTTTTGGATCATCAGGAGTTAATAAAGTACAAAACATCATCAATTTCCTAAAACATTGTTAGGAGCTCAAAATATTGCGTAGGTATCAGAAATGCTGAGCTCCAAAAAGGCTTTCTCAGCACCTTTAGCAACCATACCTACCCTTCCGAGCTTGTTGGCCAGTAGTGAACCCAGGCTACAGTACCTAAATACAGCCTTGGACTAAAGCACTAGCACAAACAGCCAGAATGAGCTTTGGAGGGGACATAGTGTACTTGCTGGCATCATGATGTCTCCCCTGTCGGAAGAAGTTTGTTCCATGCATTTCGAAATCTCACAGAGAATATGCCACTCTGCTCTCTCACAGGATGGGTTATGAACACACAGGCTGCTGGCGCTAGTAGGTACAGCAGGATCCACTCCCAGAAACAGACCTTTCCCTCTACCACCTTAAGCCCCACATCCGTAACATTTTGGGAAAATGTATATTTAGTTCAGCATCTTCCCATACAAGAACCCTGAACACTGCTCAAGCATAGTCAGAAACAGCACCACACAACTGGAGCGCTTTCCTATCTGATTTGTTTGCTAAATATTGTCAGGGGAGCAGAGCAAGGGATTTCCCTGCATCAGACCTGGATTGAGCAAGCTCCTTACTGATTTAGAGCTCAGAACTCCAAGCAGAGGGAAAAATACCACAGGCATGAGGGAGGTAACAGCCAGTGGGATCACTTCAGTGCACCAGTACACAGCCATGATGATGATCATATATGCACATTTGGCCTCCTGCAATATAATGGAAGACACATTTAAGCACAGAAAATTATTCTTAAAGATAAGAAACATGTTGGTAGCTCTTACAAAAGGCCTAAATACTCCATTGTCTGTAGCTTAACCAGTTATAGTGAAATAGTTAGCAGAAAACCTGAGGATTTAAACTTGTACTTATAAACCTTGTTCTGAAGTCACTTGCATAAGAATATCTTTTTGACCACAGTATTTATTTTAATGCATCCCCCCCAAATGTACAGTGTGAGAAAAACAAACGTTCCACAACTAAGTACGTACAGTTTGTATTGTTCAATTACCTTTCGAGAGCTGAGGTGAGCAGATTTCACATCTAGGAGCCAAGAATTGTCAATAGCATTTGTAGATTTGGGCATTTCCATTTTGAAATGGATGGCCAAATTTCCCAGTGCATGTGATTAGCTTGTCTGAAATTCACAAGCCTTTGAGGTGTGTCCAGTGGCACACCTGAGCCCAGAAACTGTTATCACTGAATAATTAAAAAGTTCTATTATCACTGAATAACTTAAAAGTTCTTAACTTTTTAAAGTAACTCTTAAAGTAAAATCTTTTGCTTTTTTTTTTTTTTTTTGACTAAGCAGATCAGAGCTATTTCATTACTTTCCCAATTCAGACTGTTCTTACTTAGATGGAGAAAAGGGATTCCCTAGATTAGAAATGTTGTAACCTTTTTACCCTGTTGATCAGGCATTCCTGTAACATAGCCTTTCTTGGTTTGTACTTTCAAAGCTGTTCAGAGAATCAAGCATTCATTAGCCAACAGTAAACAGGGTTTTAAAGCTTAAGTCAGTGTTCTGTAGCCCATAATTTCCTCATGTTTAGAGTATGTGTTTATAGGATTTTATTCTAAAACAACAAATGGGACTCTATTGCAAAAATAAATGCTCTTACAGTGACATTTAAAAAGTGCTGTAAGGTGATCTTTACAAATAGGGGGGTGTTTTCCTTCATTTTGTTGAGAAGCTGAAGAACCAGAAAACAGCCTTTGTCAGTAATCAGATTTTATTTTTTCCCCTCCAGGTTTCCAGGAATGAATTACAGCACAAGTTTTGGAAAAAATCTTCTTCAGACACTAAAAGATACCAGGCAGATCCTGTATAGGCCTCTTCCCTTAACAAGTATGAGGTGAGCTCCTGACAGAATTTATGCTACACCACAGTAGTCAAGTGCTAGAACTGACTGTAGTTAATCTGTTGCCAGTATGAAAGACAGATAATCAACCCTAAGTGACTAAAATTCACAATACAGAAGAAATTTTGGTTCCATAGAGTGGAGAGTAAATAATTTATATGAAGTTCAAAAATACAACCATGCTTATAAATTAGCTCAAACCATCATAACCAATTCAAACAACCAAGGATCTGGAATGAAATATATATCTGTACCTATACCTACATCTATCTGTGATTTATGGGAACAGTCGCAAAATGTTTCTTTGGTGCCTGGTCAGTTGACAGCAGACACAGTGAGCTGCCTTCTCACTGAGAGCTGAAAAAGCAATCACTAACAGAAATATTCCTCTCCCACTGTGAAATACTGTAATTTCCCACATTAGACTGATGACACAATATTCCTACAAATACCAAAAAATTTAAGCTATACTTATTTTTTTAGGGAAATTATCTCAGTGTTGATCAATCAGTGTGTAACAGGCAGGAATTCCTCTTTCTGTAAAGCACCAGCTTTCAACTGAAAGGCAGTGCTGATATTACTTAGACAGGTGAACCAGAATGGATGGCAAACTTGGCTTTATAAATATGCATGACATTTTCCTGTACTTTATGATACATCGAGCAATACAGATCACTCAGAAGAAAGGCTGCTTTTAGCATTAGAATTGCCTCTAAAGCTCTAGTAGGCTAAAACACCATAAATGGAGCTTTCATATTTTGCCAAGAATGCTACTAGACATCAGAGACCAAACTCTTCACTGGGTTATTCCAATTTTATGCTCTTATAGCTCCACTGAAAGTGAAAGAGTTGTGCAATCACCGCTACTGGAGTAAGATGGATGTGAACTGGAGAATACTGCATTTGAAACCTGTCATGACCACTGCCCGACACACAATGCTCAGCTCCTGACTGCTCCGCTGATGAAGAATGCCACTTGGCAACTCCCCTGACGTGTACCAGAGCCTCAGCAGCACAGCGGGCTGGAGAACCCAGAAGTCTTGTCTTCAGTCCACTGCCACCACTATTAGATAGAGCAAGACACAATTCTAAATGTGCAGGCCAGTTACGTATATATTTATCTTTGGACCAAAAAGAATTGCATCCAATTTGCAAAACAGGTTTGGTCCACGGGAGCCTCGGGTCCTTCGGGTGAATAAAGATTGGCACAGAGCTCCTTCTGCGAGCTGGGCTGCTGAGCACCAGTGCCTGAAGATTTTGAAGTGCAACCTGCAACACACGCTTCTGAGATCTGGGACCGAGTGGCAGAAATACTTCAGGGATGAGGTGCAGGAAGGAGCTGCTCCAGTCCCTGCGGGGAAGTGCAGCTTCCTTAGCAGGGATCGGGCACGTTGCTCCGGTGACAAGGGGGATGCTGTGGCGAGGGTGGCCGGTGCTGCGCAGCGTGCTCAGGGCATGGCCTGCACGAGGAGGGCAAG